TAGCTAGTACCATCTTATATTAAGGAATTTTGGGGTTTCAACTCATTGTTCACGAACCAATTTTCAAGTGCTAGGAAACACGAAAAAGGTACGTATCCCTGATAAATATGCCATAGAGGAAGGAGGAGTCACTGCGAGCCTACATGCCCCGTTACAATCGCGAGTGCATCAAATTACCATCCGCCACGGAGGAGATAAAGGCTGACAGACTTACTCAAGTGCTACGACTAGGGCCCATTCGAGATTCTTTATCCAAAAGGCTGTCTCGGAGTTATGATGAACTTCTAGAGAGGGTGTGCAAATACATGAACATGGAGGAAGCATGTAAGTCCCGACCCAAAATTATATAATTAGCTCGACTTTATTTATCAGAATTAGTAATATATTTATTGTAATGCCCCGTTAAATTCTAGATTTTTCGAGTATTATTTATTGTTATTAATATTATTATTCTTGATATTATTATTATTATTATTATTATTATTATTATTATTATTATTATTATTATTATTATTATTATTATTACTATTATTATTATTACATGTCTAATTCTAACTAATTGTTTAAAATATTATTATTATTAAATAATTATTGTGTGTAATATATATATATATATATATTTATATACATATGTTACCCGTTTTTAATTTATTTTATCGTCATGTGATTGAACCGAGCCTAGTAAAACATTTGTCGAACCTTGGGGTACCCGACCCGAACGTTACTCATATTATTTAAAATAGATTTTATTACTACGGTCGAGTTTCGATGCGTATCCGGCCCAATCGGGATTTCTTGTTCATTAAGTTTATTTCCTTGAAACCTAAATTTACGAGGAATATTTTTGGATAGGAAATAATATCTCTAATCGATTTCCATTTTCCATTACACCATATTAAATTATGGCATGAGAATTTCTTCACACTTATTTGAGATATCAATTAATTGTTAGTTGCTTTCCCAGCCTTTATTCACGCCTTATTTTCCGCATAAATAAGGAATGAGAGATACTTTTCAATCTTTTTAACCTCGTTCCTCAAGAAATCTTTCGTCCATATATTTCCCCTCAAATTACGTTTCAAAGCAGAACATTTTTTTCACCCAAAGAAATCGCCCAAATCCCTGACCTTAAATTGCAGTTCGTTCGAGCAAACCCCAGGTCGAGAACCACGATCAGTTCCCTCTGCTCACGGGCATGGGTACCGAGCAGACCAGCAGCGGCCTTTCGCGAGCATTACTTTTTCTTTTGCCGTGAACAGCAGCATCATCTTCCCGTTGATGTCCGAGCAGGACCTAGGCGAGACTATACCCTCCGTCGCAGTTTCCTTCTCCACGCGTAGAACTCTGGCGAGCAGCACCTTGTAGCGACCTTCCTCTTCCATTCGCCGGGCAGTAGCTTTTTTCGTCGCCGAGTTCATCCCCGATGTAAGGTAGGGTGAATTCAAGTAGGCCGGAACGACAGAAGACCATTGCCGACAGTCCCTCTTCGCCGCGTGCCTGGTTGTAGCGGAGACCCCCGCGAGCCCGAGACCCCGTTCCTGTTGTTTGTGCTTTTGTCGTGCGTTTCCCTTGCTGTCCATCATTGTCGGGTCCCGTTTATTGCTGCCTAGCCCCTGCTGATCACTCTCAAAACCCTTCAGCGAACCGAAACTTAGCCGTCGAGCCCCGTCGGCGCACTCGTGAGACCGTTTTAGTCCCGTTTCGTAACCCGTCCTGAGAACGGTACCCGGGCTAACCCTCGATTTATTTATTCCGCCCGTATATGTGTTTAAGTGTTTTTATACATTCTTAGTTGCTGAACGTGTGAAATACGAGTCAATTACGTACTTTGGATATGTTATTGTGCCGTATATTGAATTTATATGCAATTTGGGTATCAAAGTGATTGTCGTCACTTTTGTTTATTGTCGAACTGAGATTCGAGTGGTATTTTTCGTGGAAATCTTGGAGTTATAGGTACTTGGAGTTTTCCTTGATTAATTGGTTTTGATTTGAGGTTGTTTCGATGTATATATCATGAGTTATGAATTTTTTTAAACCGAGCATGATGCTGAATCGTAATTAATTCATGATAAATCGTGTGATTGTCCGAATGACGTGAAATTTTATATGTGATGTCCTGTGATTATTTTGTAAGTCTTATAAAATTTTAAAGTCGAAACTCCATTAGTAGCTATTTTAATAAATTCATGAAAAATCGTACACATGGAATTTTGAAATTTTATATGTGATGTCCTGTGATTGTCAGAATTTTGTAAAATTCATTAAAAATCATACACATAGAATTTTGAGCTAAAACTTTGAGGAGTATGTTATTTTGTGGTATTATGTATTGTGTCAAAATTTTGGATTAAAATTCGAAGTGTAGATATATAAACTATTAAACGTCGGATTTTCGCACTATTTTGCTTTAATTATTTAAAAATGCTCCCAGATGAATTTAGGGTGGAAACTTGGTAAGATTATGGGTTTTTGTATGCCTTATGATGTGGTAAAGTTTCAGGTTGATTGGTTGAGTCTAACTCCAGATTCTGAATTTTGTTTATTTTAGAGTCTTAATGCTCGGTTACCTGTTGTCTAGGTTTGGGCTGGATTTTATTGATGAAGGCATGATTTATGTGTATTACCTGAGGTATATTAGTTGTATTCGGGTCTAGGAGTTACTCCAAAGTACTTAACTCGGTCAAGGAATCCACGAGTCACTTAGTCGATATGTTTTTGTCTAAGTATATGTGCTTTGTGTGTCGTTTTTGTATTGGATAGTCAGTTGATAGGCTATTATAATTATTGTAGGTTCTGCGAGCTGAACTTTTGCCATAATTCCTTCAACCCTGTGTTTGGCTATATCTCGGTATCCAGGTGGGTGTTATTCGAAATTGTCTATGCCTTGAATGATAATTGCTTTATTTATGTGGGTATGATCAATGTATGCATGTGAGCATGTAATCTTCGATGTGAGCTGTACCGGCCATCGAACGGTTATCCCTGTAGCTATATCACGTACCCCCCACAAGGGTAGCATGTTTTTCCTTTGCTAAGGACCACGTCATCTGTAAGACCTTGGCAATGTGCCCTGGCCGGTGATGGATATCCTGTTTCAGCACTAGGTGCGTGCTGTGACGGTTGAGCCTCCTAGTTTTTGGGCACCCCATTTATGTTCGCCGAAATCCATACGAGCAGCAGTCTATTGTTATAGATGTGCATATGATAATTACTTTGGTTAGGAGATGAGATGTTTATTGATTATGTTCATACTGTGACCATGCCATTTAATTTCTCGTAAATTATTATTGTTCATATGCATAGTAGTGAGCACTAGACTTCACCGTGCTCACTCCCACCTGCTCTTCATGGATGCAGGTTAAGAGGGTGTCAGATGACGAGGCAAAGACGAGTGGTGGTCGGTCGTTGACCTGACCTAATATAGTAGCTTCCGCTTACATTTATGAACCTTGGAATATTGTCGTTATTTATGAACATTGGTTATATTTATGCATTTATGACTTTGGAATCTTTAGAACTTTAGATTGGGAGATGTTCCCTAATGAGTACTTTGGACGAACTTGAGCTTTATGGAAACTTCGGATTTATGATTTATGATTTATGAAAGTATGATTAATTTTATTTATTTGATTTAGTTGAGTAGCGCCACCGATTTATGAAAAGAAGGTTGAAAATTTTAAGTTGACTTTGTGAAAAATCTTTGACTTTCGTCAAATAAAAGTGGGGCGTTACATTTATTATGTCGAGGATTTTTAGTTGTAATCGCATAATTTATTTAATTTCAAGTCTAAGCCACTGAGATAAAAATTCTAAGTCCAAGTCTCGATAAATTATTTTTTTTTATCGAGTAGTAGAATAGTCGGAAATTTATTTTAATTACCGGGCCCAACTATATTTTTAATCGAGACATTTTCAAATTTAGCCGGACATATTAAAAATATCGACCCGAGTAACATTTTAATAACCGAGCCCAATCGATTAGGCCCGATTTTTAAAGCCCAAGAAAAGAGGAAACCCTAAGCTACCTAGCCTATCTATAAATAGAACCTCCCTAAGTTCATAATTGGCCACACATATTCAAGAGAGAGAGAGAGAGAGAGAGAGAGAGAGAACCATTATCTTTATCTTCGTCTTCAAATTTACCTTCAAACCTCCATAGCCATGGCTTGAACTTCAAGGTCCACCACCATCTTCATTTTTTGACCACTCCTCAGAAATCCTGAGAGCCGCCGCCGTCCACCACACCGGCGAAGCTCGAAACCCTAGCACAACCGCGGCTCAATCGCTGCGTAG